TATATACATATGGATATTTTGCGATCATTCTCATAATTTTGAAGGCCTTATGTGAACTATTTTGCACAAAATATGTAATGGGGAACGGAAATCTGCTCCTATTTTTGATCGAACATTTGTTACGCAATGAGTGAATCGAGTACACGTGTGAATGAACTTTTTACCGTCGGAATTTATTCTAATTGTTCTCATAATTTGCATACTGAACAAATTGATGGAGGTGGCCCGCATATGCAAGTTCTTTGTGATGAATATTCATGATCTAACACATCGAATGATATAGCTGGATGATACAGTTTGTTTCTTAGCACCATAAAACTTGTTCACTGTTTATTTGTGACGTCACGTGATCTGTATAGAATTCTTAGAATAATTCTAGGATATTTGTGTTATATGCGAGCATTGGGATTTGAGTTGAGAAAACAAGCTAGACTCGAAAACATATTTAGTGTATAATAAGTTTTATAATGGGCATTCTGATTGGTCGAGAATCACTAGGTTTGTTTTAAGATGATAAAGCCCGCCTACGGGGATGTGGGGTATAAATTCTGGTCTGAGATAATATGTCGAGACTGCAGGCGGTATCACGGGTAGACCTTATTTTCAATGAGAGTCCGAGTAGATGGGCTTTATCTGACTCAAATCCTACCACTGAAAAACCACCTACCACAGATATATATTTTGCCACCAGTGGGTCAATTTATGAGAGCGATGGATTAGACATTTTTCTGTATATAAAGTTCGAAAATAGTGCATTATGATTAGTCGAGAAGCACATGGGTGTGTTGTACAGTTATCTAGCGCATACAATGCCGGATTACACAGTACTGTTATCATATATATCAATAACGAGTGAGAAAATAGCGTACGGTTCGATTCACGTACGATTGATCATGACTATTATTCACGCAAATATTGATATAAACCAATTAGAACCAATGTAACAATATTTTTGTGCGGAAGAAATAGTGATCAATTTAGTATTTTCTAAGAAAATCAATGCTGTTTATTAAACAGTGTCCGTTTACTTTGTTGTTTTGTTTGTTTTCTTTGTTGAAAAAATGCCCCGGTCATTAATTTCTTTGTTCTCATCAATGTCCGTTTAACTAGAAAAGTATATTCTTTCTTTGTTCAAACAGTACCCAGTCATCACTAGTTTCTTTGTTCTCATCAATGTCCGTTTACTGGAAAAGTATATTTTTTCTTTGTTCAAACAGTACCCAGTCACTAGTTTCTTTGTTCTCATCGATGTCCGTTTAACTAGAAAAGTATATTCTTTCTTTGTTCAAACAGTACCCAGTCACTAGTTTCTTTGTTCTCATCAATGTCCGTTTACTGGAAAAGTATACTTTTTCTTTGCTCAAAAAGTACCCAGTTCACTAATTACTTTGTTCTCAACAATCTCCGTTGATTAGGAAATTATGCTCTGTTGTTGTTCAAAAATGTATTCGTTCGCTTCTAACATGGTTATGCGCCCCCCAATAATAAAATGTTGCATTAGATTAACCAATCTTTTGATGATCTCTTGTCAATCAAGATCAGCTAACAATGCCATGTTCTAACTAACTTCTCTCAATTTATACAGAGAATATAAATCGTGAATCCGACGATCTGATTGGTGGAGGGCGCATAGCCATGTTAGAATGATCAACAACACCCGGGGTTTGAACCAACGATTGCTACATCGTCAAGCTGTGAGGCTGTAAGGTAACTATACTATGATAAGCACATAAATCAGGTGCGATATCTACAGGGTATTGGCTTATTGTTACGTTATGTGACACATGTACACTGTGAAAACACATGACCCGCGATTGGGATGCAGAAAAAACACCTAAAACTCGCAAAATTCTTCGTATAACTTCGTTTTACAACTTGTTATCTCGTCGCTATGGTAATGTCTTCGTCATTCGGCTTAGTTACTCGAAATGAAATGGTGATAATATTCACTTATTAGTGTGGCGCGGTAACAACGCGCGGATTTAGAGGTAGGCTTGCCAGGCGCCCCCCCCCCCTTCAGCCCCGCAAAACAAATTGATAACTCAATCGACAAAGCCTAGCCCCGTCAATACCGAAATTCTGGATCCGCCAGTGGTTATTTTTTTCAAAGAGACATTTCGTTATTGCCTAAATGTTTATCTGTTAACAACACGAACTAACGTTTGTATTAACTGAAGACACTGACGTGTACTCCAACTAATTGTCTCCTAGCGACAAAGGCAATTCTTTAAACCGTTTGACACATTGCTTCAGCTGGAATCTTTCTGTAACTCGACGAAGCCACTCCACATAAGGTAAATATCCACAATATTATAGAAATTATTTTAAGATCTCCTCCCAATACCAAAATGACCGAATACTAATACAATATATATTGATATATTGAAGTTTGTTATTACTGAAGTTTTTTCTAAAGGCTATAATATGTATACCTTTAGAGAAGTATCGTACCTTGAATACCCCCCCCCCCTCACAATCCAAAGAAATACACAAAAAATAACGATGCTTTATGATTTATTCATAGATTCTACAACATATTAATTTAAGTAGAGTGTGCACTAATAGCAGACTCAATAGTCCAAAAACGATAAGAGATTACAACATTTGTATGCGTTTCACCACTACCATTACTCCCGACCTCTGCATAGTCTACAGTTATTTCGAAGTGTATATGGTTTAATTGATTACATATGCACCATTGATATCCTTGCACTCTGATTATAGGTGTATTACTACGGACAGCTGAAAAAAGAAAAGGAAAAGAAAATGTTCATTTGTCAGCAGAAAACTTCGAGAACATATTTTCGTATTTGTGAGCCCACTTTAGAATAAATCATTTGCATGGTTCATACGTTTAAAAAAATAATTCTTATAATGTTAGACAAACATTGGCATCAGTGGGTAAACCGTAGTTGCATATTGTATTGTACTATAAACTTTATAGAGATCAAAATAACATAAAATGTGGGTTTTGTTCACGGTGGTTAACATATTTTATGCGAAATATAAAGCACATGGCAAGAACTGAAGCAACTCAACAACACAAGTGGTTTCTGTGTCCGTGTATGTTTAATGCAATTAGTGCTATTGTGTAAATTTATTTTGCGAAGCACACTGCTACTGGATTTGTATATTAATATGTCCTGTATTGCTACCAGAAGTTATTGTTGTAAAAGTTATTAATTTTGAAAAAACTATGTTTTAAAATGTTAAGAGTCACCCGAATAACGGAATCTGTGTGACAGTGTGTCTGGGAAAACAATGTGAGGAGTTTGGGGGTATTTAGTGGAACAATAATGTTTTAACATCAACAAATTCATACAACCACAAATGATACATTTTATCCACCAAGCTCACGAAAGAAAACGAAAGTTTCATCTATTTCATTTGCCTTCAAGTTATTGTTCTGTAATACGTTAATACTTTTCAAAAGGCATCACGAATAAGGGAAAGATGAATGTGTGTTAGAAACTAACATTATTTATAATGGACAGAGTGCGTAAAAAAATTCTGTGGTGAAATGCCCGTTACAAATAATAAATGCGTGCCGTATGCATTCATACTTGCAACCTGAGAACATTAACACAGATTTTACAATATATGTGGAGGCAAATAATGTACGGTGCTAAAATGTACGTTACCATGACAACGAACCGGGAAAATGATGTCAGTATGGTTTTGATATTTGAAATGTTTCTTTCAGAAAACAGTTTCAGCAATTTAGTATTGCATTCAAGACTATTTTTGACTGACCTTATTTTCTGTATGCTCATGTTATGCTCTGTGTGCTTAAATTATTTCATGCCTTAAGTAATTATTGTTTGTGTGCAAGATATATTAACTAAACAGTGGTTAATTGTGGCAAGGTTAATTTCGTACAAACAAAGCAAGTATTTGAAATCCTGTGGGTACTGTTTCATTATTGCTGTTATTATTTTGACTTTACACTAGTATTCATGGTTGCCATAATTAACTACAATAAGCCTAAATAGGTAGGAAGGAAGATTGGCTCCCATGGCTCAATTACAATTACCTATAGGTCAAATATGAACATGGCTATTTCTAAGGTGTGTCTTCTGAAATCGG